GGAAATAAGATGCTTGACTGTCTTTTGAATCTTGGTTTCCCTTGCATACCATTATAAAATAGACACTTGAGAGGGAGAGAAAGGAATAGCCAGAAATATCACCATAGAAAATGTGTAAGTCCATAGTCTGCCTATAACTGATTGGAATACCTAAAATGGGGCTACAATATGCCACTGAAGGAGGCTTCCTGTGGAGCCTCTGCATTACATAAGACCATAGGTGGAATCCTGAACACCATCCAGAATCTTCTGAGGTAGGAAATTTCCACTGGAAATTTCACCTGGAGTGGCTAGAAGAACAGAAGATATTTCTTGAAAGACTGACAGGAAAAATACAAAACAAAAATGCAGTTTGACTGACTACTACAAGAACAAAGCATGTTGCTCGCCCAGGAGACATCAAGGCAAGTGGTCGGGTTGCCTCAGGGCAAACCATCTTCCAAGACTAAGGCTCAGTGGGAATACACGAGCAGACATGCGTTCTGACTGGTGACCATGTTGGTCACCAATAAGGGGAAGTGAGGGAAAAACAGCAATGAAGCCGCGAGCTAAGCCCTACCACGTTCAACAGACTCCTGTGAACCTGGGTGGAGACCTCGATGGCCAACAGTGTGTCAAGACCTGGGGACTCCTGGGCAGTGACATAGCCACAGAGGACTAGTGAAGTGTCCAGCTGATAAGAAGAGAGGACATATGCACAAGAACACTCATACTTGCAGATAATACCCACTTGACCTGGTTTCAATGTCTGGATGATCAGAACTCAACTAGAAGAAAAAAGAAGAGGAAAAAAATAGTAATCTGATACAATTTGATGAACTTGACCTAACCTGTGGATGCAATAGCTCAAGAGGGAACAAATCTTTACAGCGAAGATCATTCCCACCTCCTCGATACAAAGGGTAGACAGGGATGGGCAACTTGGACATTGGCTACCCAAAATGAGGGGGCTACAGAGGCAGGAAGTTACTGGTTTATAAGCTTTCAAGAGGGAGCCTAGAGAGTAGAATCTCCACTGAGTAATAGCCAATCTGTATGGACTGGGCTGATGAAAGGAGATGGGGATAGCTCTCATGTGGCACAATAGTGGATAATTGCTATCAGGACTGACTGTAAGGGTTGGAAATGTAAGGGTGGACATTTTGTAGCAAAAGGAAGGGAGTGATTGACTTTGCAGTCCAGGAGCGGAGGTCCCTGGGACCATGAAGGGAGAAGAGTGAAGTGCAGGACCCTACTCAGAGAAACAGTGACGCCAGAGACAGAGGAAGAGACAATGACATAGAAAGATGGAGCAGCTGGGGACTCTGGACTTACGGAGGGAGAGGGACTGTGTGCTGATGGCTGGCTGGCAGGCTTGCAGGGTGTACTTGCTTGATGATGCATGGAGGGGATTGTAAGCATGGCAATGAAATGAAATACGATAGGATGAATGTAAAGCTGGTGTTTTCCCATGTAAATTATGACATAATTCACAATTTTAAAAAAATTTTTAATTGAATTGTTGTTGTTAAGTGCCATCAAGTCAGTTCCAGTTTGGCAAGACGTGGGGACTCTTGGGTCTGGAGTCAGTGACATAGCCACAGAGGACTGGAGTGGAGAATGAAGCATCCAGCTGATAAGAAGAGAAGGCATATATGTACAAGAACACCCACACTTGCAGATAATACCCACTTGACCTGGCTTCAATGACTGGATGATCAGAGCTCAACTAGAAGAAGAAAGAAGAGGGAAAAAAGAGTAATCTGATACAATTTGGTGAACTTGACCTACACCTATGGGTGCAGTAGCTCCAAAGAGGGAACAAATCTTTACAGCAAGGATCCTTCCTACCCCCTCCATACACAGAGTAGACAGATGGGCAACTTGGACACTGGCTACCCAAAATACGAGGGGCTACAAAGGTAAGAAGTGACTGGCTTACAAGCTTTCAAGAGGGTGCCTAGATCCAGAAGCGTGGAGGAAGGCAGAATCTCCACTGAGTAGTATCCAATATGTCTGGGTGGGGCTGATGAAAGGAGATGGTGATAGGTATCTTGTTGTTCAATAGTGAATAATTGTTATCAGGACTGACTGTGAGGGCTGGAAATGTAAAGATAGACATTTTGTAGCAAAAGGAGGGGAGTGATTGACTTTCCAGTTTAAGAGCAGAGGTCCCTGGAACCAACAAGGGAGAAGAGTGTAGTGCAAGACCCTACCCAGAGAAACAGTGACTCAAGAGATGGAGGCAGAGACAATGTTATGGAGAGATAGAGCAGCTGGGGACTTTAGACCCAGAGACGGAGAGGGGCTGAGTGCTGACGACCGGGAGGAAGACTTGCAGGGTATACCCTTTGGTTGGTTGATGATGCATGGAGGGGATTGTAACCATGGCAATGAAATGATATATGATAGGATGAATGTAAAGCTAATGTTATCCCATGTAAACTATCACATAATTCACAATAAAACATTTTTTAAAAAAACATTTCAAGACCTATCTTGAAGCACAATTCTGTCTGCAATAGGATAATAGCAATATGCCTGCAAGGAAGATCAGTTAATACCAATATTGTTCAAATTTATGTACCAACCACTTAAACCAAAGATAATTAAATTTAAAAATTCTACCAACTTCTTTAATTTGAAATTGATCAATCATGCAATCCAGATGCATTGATAATTGCTAGTGATTGGAATCCAAAAGTTGGTGGAGGAAAGGGGAAGGATCAGTAACTGGGAAATAAAGTCTTGGTGATAAACAGGATGCTGGAGATTACATCATAGGCTCACATGCATGTCCAGTTCTCTTCACCCTCTACTTCACCTTCAGTAGGCTCTAGGTTATCTAGCTGAGCAAGGAGATGGCAGCACAGTCCTCCAAGTCTGAGCCTGCCATGTGCACCTGCTTGTACTTTACCAGGAACTTGAGGCAACTAAAGTCCAGGGACTAGAGATACTCCTTGAGTATTCATTCAGCCAGTGCCCAAAATGAAAGACATGGCACCAGGGGTGAATGATGAAGGGCAGGGTCATGGGATTGGCCTTTCAAACCACACCATCCTCCCCCTGTACCCTTACAAGCAGCTAGGTCCTTCTGTCTGCCCCTGTCCTTCCAGAAACCAGCCATTCCCTGCCATATCTCTCTTGACTCTCCTGACAGTGGCAGGCCTGGTCACCAAGCAGGAGGATAACTCAGTTCCATGGATCAATTCCTCTTCTTCAGGAATCCTGACCAACTTCCCAGTATGTCCTCCAGCTCCCACCCCACTGCAAAGGAAACCCCACCATAGCAAGAAGAGGTGAGTGTGGGCAAGTTTATGACATGGTGGAGGTGTAGACACATAGCAGTACTCCATGAGAATCTGACAGATGGACACACAGAGTCTATCCTCTTTCCTTTGCCTACCCAGGTCCTTAAGTCCCTTAAACCTAGAGCTTGTGTGTCAGTATGTTGATCAGCTCTGTGTGTAGTGTGAGTGTCCTTTCTCCCACTGCCACTGTTCTCACAAAGGACATAGATAAGCCACCAGAACTGAAGTTCAGCAGATGCAGGAGCAGGTTTCTTACCACACCACCTGCTCTGGTCCCTGCGTCAGGGAAGGATAAGCAAAACCATGAAAGCACTGTGAGGGGATAGTTTCACCTGGACTCTGTCACCACCCCTCTGTGAAGGGTTTCCTCCTGTTGGGAGAGCCCCTGGCTCATTCCTCCATGGGGAATATAGATGAGTGGAACCCAAAATCTAGCCCCAATCCAGAAACAGAAGACAGGAACCCCTTCTTCTCTACCCAAAGTTGACTCACTCTTTCAGCTAGTTCTGAGGTCTGCCATTCTTGTCAGAATGGAAGTAGTTGCTTCCATATAGAGAGGAGGCATCTAATGTATTGTGAACATTACCTGCTTACAATGATTAGAGTCCCTATCTGTCTCCTCAGCTAGAATGACACCCAGAATGGGAGTGGTTGTGGTCTTTTTTATTCATTGAATGATGTCAAGTATGTAGAACAATGTCTGCAAAGCCAGGGACTTCATATGTGAAATATTTGATGAATGAGTGAACACAGACAACACCTTCCATGATATCTAAATGGGCCTGTGGCCTTTCTGCTGGTTCCCAGGCATTCCAATTCTAGCTACAAGAGGAGATGGATTCCTTAGATGATATCTCAAACACCCTTTACAGATGGGAAATAGGCTTGCTCAAGCACAGTGCTGCTTCACGGGCAAGAGGAAAATAAATGTGAACATTCCCTGTCCCTTCAGCAAACTTATCTGCATTGCCAGAATCTGAATAAGCAGTTTCCATGTGGTCCAGACAACAACCCTGGCAGGTTGATCCTCTTCTGACTTCTCCAAGAAACAAACAGCCTCAGAGAAGTGAAGTGACAAGACACACAGCTAGTAGGTGGCAGTTTCCTGATGTGCAATGGAGGGTAGGGTGCTCACCTTTGAGAAAATAGATCCAAAACCTCTAGGATGGTAGCAAAAGTTTTGTATGAACATAGAAAGATATCCATGTAGGAAAGGTCACACTTCAGGAAGGCAGGAACCAGGAAGTCCACCCGTTTCTCCAGTGATAAAGCCTTCAAAATCTGCACCACACAGTTCTCATCCAGGCTTAGGTCCAACCAAAAAACATACAGAAGTGGAATGAAGAAAGGATATAGAGGCCGAGGCAGCACCCTGAATTCCCAGATGGGTCAGGAACCTTAGCTCAGACTGGGATCCCAAAGCACCAAGGGACTTGTGGAGGGAGGTGGGACACAAGGGTCTCCAATGGATATTAGTTCTCAACTTTCAATGTAGACTTTGATTTGGGGATGATTAAAAGTATTAGGAACCTCAAGCCATTTTAGCATCTCTCTATACTAAGAGCATTAAACTAGTAACTCTCCTAAAACATTCCCAATCTAGAATTGTGTTCGCTGCCGTGCCGCCGTCACTCTAAAGCCAGTGCCGCCTCTAGCTCGTCGAACTCCAGCTGAAGGAGAAGTGGGGTTAAGTGAGGAGGTTTCTATACCATGGTTTCTACAACGCAAACAGCCCGCAAATCAACTGGTAGGAAAGCACCCAGGAAGCAATTGGCTTCAAAAGCCGCTCATAAGAGTGCACCCTCTACTGGAGGGGTAAAGAAACCTCATCGTTACAGGCCTGTTACTGTGGCGCTTCGTGAAATTAGAGGTTATCAGAAGTCCACCAAACTTCTGATTCGTAAACTCCCCTTCCAGCGTCTAGTGCGAGAAATAGCTCAGGACTTCAAAACAGACCTGCGCTTCCAGAGTGCAGCTATTGGTGCTTTGCAGGAGGCGAGTGAGGCCTATCTGGTTGGCCTTTTTGAAGACACCAATCTGTGTGCTCTCCGTGCCAAACGTGTAACAATTATGCCAAAAAGACATCCAGCTAGCATGTCGTATACGTGGAGAACATGCTTAAGAATCCACCATAATGGGAAATAATTTATTCTTTAAAAAAAAAAAAAAAATCTCTTATACCTGTTATTGGTAGTTCTGAACGTTAGATTTCTCCCCCCCCCCCCAATGGGGTCAAAAGGATTGCTAATCGAAAAATTGGGTACAGAAATCAGATATTGGCAGTTTTTTTGTTTTCATTTGTGTTTTTAATATAAATATGGGGATATAAAGCATTAATGCAAGTCAATATGTTTCAGTGAACAAGTTTCAGCAGTTCAACTTTATAATAATTATAAATAAACTGTTAAAATTTTCTGGACAATGCCAGCATTTGGATTTTTTTAAAACAAGTAAATTTCTTATTGAAGGCAACTAATGGTGTTTGTGGCATTTTTAACATACGGTAGATTCCATCCATTCACTATACTTTTCTGAGTTGTCCTACATGCAAGTACATGTTTTTAATGTTGTCTGTCTTCTGTGCTATTCTTGTAAGTTTGCTATTAAAATGCATTAAGCTATTTTTTGAAAATTCCCATTGTAGAGATGAGAAAACTGAGGTTTGGCATTGTCACGTGACTGCTCAAAGTCATATGGTCAGAAATCAAAGAGTTTTCCAATGCTAGGGCTGCATGATTGTTTCCTATAAAGACTGTAGTACAAGCTCATTTCTTCCCCACCTGGAGACATTACACAGAGCAGGCATGTACAATGAGATCTCCCTGGGATTTTTCTTTCTTTACATTAAGGGGAGTTTTGCGAACCTGAAGCCATGATGTCCCCAGGGCTAGCTAAGAGTTAAGGCCTCAAGATGGCAATGGGGCAGGTGTTTTAGGAGCAAAGATCTGAACAAACCACTCAGGTAAAGTAGACCCAAATAGCCTGAAAAAGCTGATATGGCTCAGATTCTCAGGAAGTCCTGGTGTGGCGCTGTGGGTTGATGCACTGGACTGCAAGGTCATCAGCTGCTCCTTAGAAACCTTATACAGGGTCGCTATGGGTTGGAACCTACTCAACAGCACTTAACAGCAACAACAACAGCACATCAAACTTACCCAGTAGTCCCACTTGACACCAGTCTGGCAAAAATTAAAAAGAATACCCGGCTCTGGCATGATTCTAGAACACAACCATCTTCACAGACTACAGATGGACTCATATCTGCTGAGGTTGTTTTGGAAAGGAGTCTGGCTCTAGCAGTCCTAACTTTAAATGTGCAGATATTTCTACCTAGCAAAGGTCACTCCTGGGAGTCTCTCCTGGGTGGGGGTAATGAGGACTGCACTCTACTGACAGGGTAGCAGAAAGGAATCACAAGTAGGGCCACCAGCAGTAAAAAGTTCATCACAGTGGTAATTAGACTCCTTTCTGGAATATTCTGCTCGAGTCAGAACACCCCTACTGACTCAGAGAACTCACTATAATGTGGTTCGTGGCAATCCAATTTGCACAGAACAGTATAGCATAAGCCCCTCCATTTCTGGGTAAAAGAAGAATATTAAGAATGAGGATGTATGAGGCTAGGAGAAAGTTTGGAAGAACAACCCATGGGGAAAAGAGGTAAGGTATTTATTTTTTCTTTTTTGAAAAAAATGGTGTCATCCTTGGAGCCTAATGGTGAAAAGTAAGGATTAAATAAAATCCCTTGCTTTGAATCTGTTACCCTGTGTTAACAAGAAATAATTTTAAGGTCCCTATCTTGGTCATCTCTAAACAACAGTAAAGAAAACAAAATTCCAGGGTAAAACTGTCGGAGACAATTCAACATGCCAGAGTGCCCATCTTAGCTATGAGGGGAACCGGCCTGTAGTGTTAGTGGCATTGGTCTATGCTGTGGAAGGCTTTCTGTCCACTCTTGTCCAGCAAGAATGTTGTGAAGAGCCATTGAGTCAGTTCCAACTCAGCAACACAGTATAGGGTTTCTGAGGAGTGGCTGGTGAGTTTGAACCTCCATCCTTGAGGTTCAAACTGACCTCATGGTCCAGTGTTTATCCTACAGCACCATACCATAATAGGGTCCTGTTTATAGAACCATCTGAGTGTTCTTTTTTTTTTCCCTTTGATACCTTGTGCGTGTTTTCTACCTCCATACCCCATAATTCCCAGGGGTAGGAGGAGTATGATAAGTTAATCTTCTCCTCATGTAAACCACAGACTATATAGGGAAAACCCACCCCTCCTTAATTCTGCCAGAAGTAATACGGTTAATTAAACACAAAAATAAAATGGAAATTAAAGACAAAAACAGTAGCAAAACCGAAAAACACTCATGGGCTGACAAGTAGTGAAAACAATATAAAATATTTCTGATATTCCTGCAAATATAGGAAAAGTAGCTTTGCACCTGGCCAGGACAAGGGAGAGAAGTAGGAGTGGAAGAGGAGGGAAGGGTAGTAGCCAATTCTTTTGGGAAGAGACTGGGGACCACTCCAGAGGGAAAGCCCTAGGAGGGAACTGGAGAGTCTACAGGGCTAGCTTAGAGCCGTAAGTTGGGAACCAACCCCATTACTCACCTAGAACCTGCACCAACTCTTCCCAACCACCTACTAAGGATAGACTAAGTACAGGGTGTCATCTTCCTTCTCCCCTTGAATTTTCCATGTGGAGCTTTACAGAGACAGTGCTAGCCAGGGGCCTTCATTGAGACACATTTCTTCCCTTTATGCTCCTTCAGAACCTTGTACAGGACTGAGTATCAGAGGAGCTCACAGCTCCGCATCTGTCACCACATAGTGGGTGGGTACAAGCATGTAACATGAGAGCGTTAGGGTCATATCTCACACCTGGGTATCTAAAGACTCCCAGGGGCATGAGGCTATAGGTAGAAGGAATACACGTTCCTATGGCTGGCACACTGATCTGCAGGTAAGTAAGGAAAAGACCATTGTTCCTGCTGGGAAGGTAGCCTGAGGGTGGCACCAACAAACTCTGGCCAAGTTCACTGAGTCACCACAACCCCACGCTCCCCCTCCATTCCCACTGTCCAGGGAAGAGGACATATTACAACAGAAAGGAGGGTCTCAGAGTGGAGTTGAAGATATCAACCTATGAGAGCTACAGGAGGATCTGGGAGAAACTAGGTCAGCAAAGAGTAAATACTTTCAGCAAGGGTAGCGGAACCCCCACAAGACAAGTTGGAACGCAGAGAAGAGTGAAAGTACTGATTTGGTCTGAGAATTTCTGACAATTCCTTCCCTAAAGCCATTGGGCTAAACTGGGGACTCTCAGTAGGGACAGAGTCCCAGCATCCTATGCGATCAGAGGCCTTGGGGCAAGGATATGATACAGTTACCACTTGTGTCGACCCAGTCACAAGTCTTCAAAGTACTTAACCAGGACCACCGGCACCTTATTGTAGGTCAAAATCAGGCCCATGGACTCAGTGATAATGAGGGGAAACAGTGATGGAGTGTGGGTGAGCCCTCCGTAAGTGATGGTCATGAAGCAGCCTCAGCAACAGCACCATTCTAATCACTTTCATCATCACTCCCCCCACCCCCCAATATCCCTAGAGCACATGGTCACCTCGCCGTCACTGCCTATACTCATTCCTGTTCCCAAATGCACCCTGTCTCATCCCAACAACTTTCTGCCTTATCAATTCTGTCTTCATTTCCTCCATGTCCCCAGTACCAAGGACCCTCCACCTTGGCCTGGGGGCTGGTATGACCTTAAACAGAGATCGTGGGACTGCCACCAAGTGGGAACACAGTGGTGGCATGGCTTGCATTAGCTGCCCTGGGCCATGATGAGTTTCCTTCACATTCTTTTAAGAAAATGGCCAGAGTCTTCAAGGGTGGGGGCTAAAAGAATGGCTGAAGCTGTAGAAAATGTTTGAACTCCTGAATTCCCTCCACTTTCTTCAAAGAACCACTATCCACATCTAGGAAGTAATGAAGGACTTGTCCTGAATAGGAGAAGCCAGAACCCCTGTAGCCAGCAGGAGTAATGAAGGGCTATGTGTTAATGATTTTGTTCCCATGTTTTGGCTAGTTTGCCTGGTTTCAAGCTAGCCATTGGCAACCACTTGATATACCACTATGGTCCACCTAGTCTCTTAAGCCCCACCATGACTTGAAACAGCTTTGTCTATTTGACAAAGGAGAAAATAATGGATTGTAATAAAGGAGACCAAACAAATTAAACATGGACTTCTGGTAGCAACGCTCTTCCATTTCTAACCAGGAAGCCTACAAGTTAAACTTCCAGAACCAACTCCTCACCCCGTCAGCAGAAGCTCTGAAGCCTCAGGCTCCTCATCTGTTAAATGCAGATAAAAACCTATATACAGGTTATAGGGACAATTACATAGGCCCATTCAGAAACACCTTGTAAAGGACCCCTTATAAAATTGAAAAGGGCCCTACATATTTATACACAGGGATGTTAAGGTCAAATGAGAGAATAAATTAAAACTGAATGGAAAAGTCAATTAATAAAAGAGCTAATTATCCTTGAGTGGCCAGAGGCCTCCCTAAAACGAGATGGGTGCACCTGACTCCTTCCTAAGTCTGCACTCACTCATTCTGGAGGAAGCTGAGTGCAAACATTTCTGTATTTGATGGCAGTGTCAATATCTGACACTGACTAGCCAACACAGACAAATCCGGTCAATACAGAAGTGTGACCGGGCCCCAACCTTTTATCATTAACCTCTGAGGTGCCAGGTCACTGGTGTTTCAGGGGTACAAAGACAAGGAGAGGGTACCCAAGGTAGCATTCATATCACTGGAGTTTGGGCCATTGCCAACCAGTAGAGGGCTGCTCCAGTATTCTCATAACCCTACTGCTTACAATTTCTTGCAAAGCCAATTTCATCACACATGACAGAGTTACTCTATCTATCAAACAGCTTCTTCCAGGATAATAAGGAAAATATGAGACCCAAGAAAATATATGATCTGCAAGACTGCTAGAAACTTGGTCAGGTGGTGGTGTAGGTGCCGTCAAATCAATTCCAACACATAGTGACCTCGCACACAAAGGAGCAGAGCACTGACCAGTCCTGCGACATCCTCACAATTGTTATGCTTGAGTTCATTGCT